CATGGTCAATAGGTATCTCTGACGGAAGTCGTGCGGGGATTAGATAGCATAGCGCCGGCACGCCCGACACTGTTGGCGATGTGAGTCCTCAGGTATGGCCCATCGTGGCCGCGGGTCATGTCAAGACGCGTCTACTCCTTTTCTGATGTTAGAAGTTTGACCCTGGGTTCGTACTCCTAGACCCGTAGTGGTTGGAGGCGGTACGAACCCCCGTCGGGCGAGGCGAAATCTCCGTTCAAGGGGTCTGGCGAGGCGAGGTCCGTCCTGAGGGGTCGGGCGTGACGGAGCCCGCGCCCTCCGGGTCGGGCGACACGGAGCCCACGCCCTCGGGGCCAGGCGAGGCGAAGACCGCACCCGAGGGGTCTGGCGAGACGGAGCCCGCGCCCTCGGGGTCTGGCGAGACGGAGCTCGCACCCTCGGGGTCGGGCATGACGTAGCCCATACCTTCGGGGTCAGGAGAGACGGAGCTCGTACCTTCGGGGTCGGGAGAGATGGAGCCCGTAACGTCGGGGTTGGACGAGACCAAAATACGCTCTTGACCATCTGGGTGAGTTAGCGTTCGCGGCCATCGACTTCCTTCTGTCAGGTATCCATAGTACTGATACCCGGCACTTCTCTAAAAAAACAAAATCTTCATGATAGAAATATAAGTTTCCAGTGAAAGAAAAAAACATTTAAACGTATAGTTTTATTGGTACTATCTTTTTTCTTAATTATTATACTGAGATCATACTTTTTTTTCCTTTACGAGGACATGAATGACTAGGAGCTGCTGTCCTTTTTCTGCCTTGACATGCTGCATATGTTGGGATTTAAGAGATCTTGTACCAAAAACAGGAATACAGTTGCCGATATTTTATTTTCGTGAATGTGATTATTTTTACACTGGCTGTTTTTAACAGGTCTGGTTTCTAACGGGCCGTTGTCTTCCTCTCCGTATTGCATTTCATCAACTGAAGATCATTGTTGTGCTGTAGATCAACTGTAATGCTTTGGTATACCTGGTATACCTACCATACTTCGTGGTTTAGCAAACCAGGTCTTTTTTTGTATATATGTAGACCCAAAAACATGTGCTGCTAAACTCCTCCCAACTACTATACAATTAGCTCCATGTATAATATCTATATAATTATGCTTCAACCCGCTACCACATTAGTCCATATTATGCATACCATGCAATGTCGAGTATATATTTCTGTGTCTTTGAATTTGTGTCCGCATTTGCGCGCGATGGCGCGTGCCCTGCCACTAGTGTACATCAAATACGTTTTACAGCTAGCAGAAAAAACACAAAGTAAACATATTCTACAGTATGTAAAACCACAATTCATTTGGCACTCACCGCCCTAGAGTGAGTGTGTAAAACCACATCGACGAGGTGGAGTATACATTGTACTTGTACGTGTACGGATGGAAAATATTCTACTGCACAACAGTATGCATATATCCAGCCTGTTCGTTTCAGCTGAAATGATCGTGGATTATAAGCTAGAAATATTGCTGACTGGTTTGGTGTGAGAGAAAAATATTGTTTTAACTTATAATCCACGATCGTATAAGCCGAAACGAACAGACTGATCCCTTTCTTGTGTGTCCACCGTCCACAAACCGAAAACCTTACATTCCTCTCCAACATCTTTACATCTTGTCTAAATGCATTGTATCTACTATCTACATTAATCCATATACATTGGAATGGAATAAGATAGAAATTAAACTAAGTTTCACCCTAATAGCCTAATTCACTTCCACGCATATGGATTGACGTGCATACGCGTGCATCTAAATAAGTCCTCGAGCTATTGTGTGTGGATTGTGTCCCCATGGTTGAAAGTTGTAATCAATTTAATTTAGTATATTAGCAACTCTAAAAGCCGCTTTATATCCTCTTATATTGTTAGGGATAAAAATTTTGGTGAAGAAATCTCTTTGATCAGCTTCTCAACTAGATCTCTAAATATTTTTATCATATATTCCTAGTTTATCTTCGCCAAAGACATAGAGAGGAGGAGGCTTTCTAAAGTGCCAAGCATGATATAAAAAAGTTGTCGGAGGATAGAGACAAAAGGAGTGATTTAAATAGGATAACTTCAAATTAAGGCTGTGTTTGGATCAAAGGATTTTTATAGAAAAAGTGGAGGAAACAAAAACAGAGGAAAGGAAGATGAGAGGAACGTTTGGAACAAAAGAAAACTCAAATTCCTTTCCTCCGGAATATTGTACCATCTTCAAACTTTGGCCCCATTCACGTGCTCTTAAACCCGGCTTGATCCGCTTCTTTTTTTCATCCGGAACAGTATTTTCCTCTCACAAATTCCTTCAGATTCATCCAGATTCCTCCAAATTCCTCCACTTTCACAGAAAAACAAACATCTATCCAGACCTCTGGTTTTCTCTTCCTGTGTGGAAGTCCAAGGCAGCTGCGCACTACAATTCATATGTTATAAATTCCTGTGTTCCAAACAGCCTAAAATTTCTGTTCCTGTGTTTTGAAATCCCGTAGTTTTTTACTTTTCAAGCGTGTTTAGTTCTCTGAATTTAGAAATTTGGGCTACCGTAGCACGTTCGTTTTTATTTGGCAAACAATGTTCAATCATGGACTAATTAGGCTCAAAACGTTCGTCTCGTAATTTCCAACTAAACTGTGCAATTAGTTTTTTTTTGTCTACGTTTAATGCTCCATGCACGTATCGCAAGATTCGATGTGATGAATACTGTAGCAATTTTTTGGATTTTAGGATAGCAACTAAACACGCGCTTCATCATACCTTATTTCTGCGTTTTTTCTATTCATGTGTTTTGGATTCCTTCGTTCCAAACATGCCCTAAGATTTAAAAAGTGTGTTTAAAAAAGACGGTTGTAGATGTTTTTAGTCTACAAGTTAATAATCCCCACAGTTAAAAAACGATATTAAGATAATAATGATAGCGATTTTCATTACTTTTTTGTTTTTATAGGAATACTGCAGTCAAGTTTAATAAGACTATTATGGTACAGCACCATCTAGAATGCTAAGGACTCGTTCGGTTAAGCCATTCCAGGCACAAGAATTATTCCAGATTTAAGTGCTTATACAAATTAAGCTTGAGTTCCAGCTTGATTCTTTCCAGGTACTCGTTCCCTGATAACCGAACATGGCCCAAGTATTTCGAAATACACGATGATCGGATTCATCCTCAGTAATCAAGATACACCATTATAACCATTTTGTTAAGCTCTACAAACGGGATATGAAAAACGTTGCTTTCTTGGTTTGAATTGTTGACCGAATGTTCTGGCAAACCGCAAGCGGGAAATGGTGCTACAGAGCACAGAACAGTAGATTCACCTTGCCCGTAGTTCAGGAGTAGTAGTTGCTTAACGAGATCGGCAAATAATTATGCCTGGTGGAGTTGAACGTCCTGTTCACTTGGCTTATAAGCCGTATTTTTTTAATTAACGAATAATATTTTTTTCTCATAATAAATCAGTCAATAGTATTTTTAGTCATGGCTTATCAGCCGAGCGAACGTGACAGAAATGGCCTCAACCTCTGTGTTCCCACGTGACATGGACAGTAATCTCCAGCTAGAATAAAGGGGTGTTTGGTTATTTAGTCGCTCCTAAAATTTATGTCACGTCGAATGTTTAGATACCAATAGAGAGCATTAAATATAGATTAATTACAAAAACTAATTACATAGATAGAGGTTAATTTGCGAGATGATTTTTAAGCATAATTAATCTGTCATTAGTACATGTTTACTGTAGCACCACGCTGTCGAATCATAGACTAATTAGGCTTAAAAGATTCGTCTCACAAATTAATCATAAGTTGTGTAATTAGTTTCGTAATTAATCTATATTTAATATTTCATACATGTGTCTGAACACGCGATGTGACACAAATTTTAGGAGTGCCGGCGCCCAATTCGGCTACGCCGATACGTCGGCCCTGGCCGACCACCTATGGCCGCTCCGATCCGTGGCGCCGTCAAGCCCCGACCGAACTGCCCGTGCCCAAGTGAACAACCATCACTGTCGGCGATGCAACGAACGAACATGTGCCCCGGTGGTCTACCTGGGTCACGTTTACGCCCCGTTCGCTGGTCTGAAATTTGGCTGAAACTAGCTAAAAAAGTAACGTTTCGTCTGAATTGTTGTGAGAGAGAAATACTGTTTTAGCTAAAAAAAAGCCGAACAAGCTGAATATGGGGTAAACCAAACATGGCCTGAGTTGGTCCCCAATTCGACGGCGCCGGTTTTCATGGAGGCACTGTAGCTACAGTAACTTTTCGTTTTTGTTTGGTAACAATTGTCCAAACATTGACTAATTAGGCTCAAAACGTCCGTCTCGTAAAGTACAACCAAACTGTGCAATTAGTTTATGATTTCGTCAACATTTAGTACTTCATACATGTACCTCTTCTTTTTATATAGTGCCAAAGTTTGAATTTTGAATGAACTAAACAGGGCCCTGGTGGGCAGTGAGCTACTGCGGCCTGGGCAGCTGCTGGGCTGGTATCCGTTACGGGGACAAGTTAGGCACGTTTCTGCCGCGCCAATTCGTCATTGCCACGTCTCCAGGCTCCAGCTTCAGTCAGACTCCTGCTCGTTTCTGCCTGCGCCTCCGTGTCCGTTGAGTTGTCCCGACTCCCGCCCCCGCCAGGCCTTTCGCCGCGACGTCTACGCGTCGTTCCCCCGCTTCCTTTCTTCCAAAGTCTTCTCGTCTTATCGGCTTGCGGGGATCCGCTGCCACCACCATGGTGGTGGCAGCCACGTGTGCTTCGGTTTGAGCAACCGTCGCAGGTTCGCGGCACCAACCAGCCGCCCAGCCGACGTGCAGAAGATCTCCGCCTCCCTGAGCGACACAGCGAATCAACCGTCGTCTTCACCACTTCGCTCTTTCCGTATTAAAATCCCACCCCTCCCATTTCCGCTTCCCCACATCCCCTAGCTCGATTCGACCCCGGAGAAGAGCAAGCTAGGCGCAACCGACCAGCTACGCAACGCAACCATGGCTTCCGCTTCCTCGAATGCCAAGCAGAGCCTCTACCCGGATGTGGACCAGTCCCACCCTGATCTCAACACCCCCTTCTTCTCCGCGCCCACCACCTCCACCGGCGCCGGCGCCGGCACCGCCACCACGGGCAACTCCCTCTACCCTACCGTCGACCCCAACGAGCTCGCCGAGAACCTCTTCCCCGAGACGTCCGAAGAGGACGCCGCGCCGCCGCCGCCCACCACAGAGGAGACCGTCGTCGCCGTCCCCGGGGCGCAGCTCCACCTCGTCGACCCCGACCGCAGCCTCGACCTCGGCGCTGGCACGCTCTCCATCGTGCGCCTCCGCCAGGGGGACCACTCCGTCGCCATCCTGGCGCGCCTGATCCCCGAGAAGCCCCACCACCGCCGCGGCCTCTTCCGCCTGTTCAGCAGCGGACGGTCTGACGGTGGCGCCGAGCAGGAGCCCGTCCAGTGGCCGCTCACCCGCGATGTCGCCGCGGTCAAGCTCGACCCCGCGCACTACTTCTTCTCGCTCCATGTCCCGCACACGGACCACCCAGACGACAAGGATGACGTCGAGGATGCCGAGGTGGACGCGGAGGCGGCGCTGAGCTACGGCCTCACGGTCGTTGGGAAGGGGCAGGAGAAAGTATTGGAGGAGCTGGATAGGGTCCTCGAGGAGTACACCACCTACTCGGTGAAGCAGGTGGAGGCGGCGGCGAAGGAGAAGTCGGAGGTCATGGACGCGAGGGCAGTGGCCGAGATCACTCCGGAGGAAGCTGTCGGGGATAAGAAGGAGGTCGTTGAGGAGAAGTCTGCGGCGTTCTGGACGACAATCGCGCCGAACGTCGACGATTACAGCTCGTCGGTGGCACGGCTGATGGCGCGAGGCTCGGGGCAGCTTGTGAGGGGCATCATCTGGTGCAGCGACATCACGGCGGAGGGCCTGCGGCGTGGTGAAGAGGTGGCGAAGAAGAGCGTGGGGCCTAGCGCGAAGCCGACGCAGGTGAAGCCCAGAACTCTCAGAAGGATGAAGAGGTAGGATGGTGAACAATCTTACTACTAGCATTTATTGCGAATTACTTACGATTATTATCCAGTTAATTTAGAATGCGATTGTTCCTGTTGGATTGCAGTATTTTAGACACTACTTATCATAGATAGGAGTTAAATTGCCCTGCTATTAATCTTGTATGTTGTGGTAGCTCGTAGAATCAGACAACTTACAGATAGCTCTTACATTCTTAATTGGAACTCCCTTGCCACTTCACGTTTTGGTAGATGTTTATTTATTTATCAGAGCAGGGGATCTTTTGCTTGAGCAGCCATGGTGTTTTTTTTCCCTGAATGCAATGCAAATGTCCATTCATGTATGATCATGTCAATTATTCCTTCAGAGTGTTGCCATCCATCTTTATTAGTTGATTGGTGCGAAATTGACCCTGAACTTAGCCATTGCCTGCTTTCCGGTCGCCATCTAGTGTGTATTTATCTACATATATATTTGCATCCTAAGTTTGACCAAAATTATAGAGAGAATTACAAAGATTTATGACAAATAGGTATACTATGAAAATATAATTAGCGAAAAATCTAATGATACTTATTGGTATCATAAATGTTATTATTTTATTATATAAATTTGGTCAAACTCTATATTCATTTTTTGGAGAATCTATCTACTGTTCTCGATTACGCAGTTCTCCTGTATGTCCGGGAACTAGTGTCCTAGATTGCCAATCAGTTTAGTCAAGTATGCCACTTGTTATCAACCATGTGTATGTAGTAGAAGTTTTACAGCACCAATTGTTATTCATGTTCCTTTCAGTTGGTTGGCGTCCATTTCTATCTATTATTGTATGATAATCAATTTGTGTCCCTCTTCCTGCTGCTTATGGTTTTCTGTCTTCTTTCTTAGGGCTAGGAGGGTTACAAAGATGTCCAACAGGGTGGCAAACTCAATCCTGTCTGGTGTTCTGAAGGTCACTGGCTTTGTCACAAGCACCGTGTTGAACTCCAAACCAGCACAAAAGTTTTTCAAGTTAATGCCTGGCGAAGTTATTCTTGCTTCACTTGATGGATTTGGTATGTCTGCTTTACATTTCTTTAAGATTTGCTTGAGAAATATAGCTTCATTCAGGCTAGTTTACATGCTTCTGGGGTGATTGAATCTATATGATAGATTTGTAAAACCAGCAGATATAATTGATTTCATAATATGGCTTCAGATTCTACCCACTTCACTTTGTTTAACTCCTGCAGCATGTCTGCGTTGCATGTTATGTATGATCGGTTGATTTTTATCCTGTATTCAATGATACAGGGAAAATATGGGATGCTGTAGAAGTGTCTGGCAAGAATGTGATGCAGACATCATCAGTCGTGACAACTTCTGTTGTAACACACAGGTAAATAAACATACAATGCAGTGGATACTTTGCCGAATCATCTGCTTTGTATTATTTTTGGGATCTGCAGTGACATTTTTTTGGTTAGGAGTCCTCCATTTTTCCAAACTATGTAAATATAACTCTCTCTTTTTGGTTGGGAAACTCTCCATTCCATTTTCTACAAACATTGGCATTTTAGCAGCAAAGTCCATATGGTTTTTTTGAGGAAAGAAAGTCCATATGGGGTATCATGTAAGAATAAAACAGGACTTAAAAAACATTTTTTTAGATGAAATTCAAATAATAAGAATATCAATAATCAGCTGAGATTAGAACTACAAGAGATCCAAGAAAATTTGTTCTTTTAGAAAAATGGCAATGAACCCATGAACTAGGAAGTACTGCTCTTATGACATGCAGGGAATGTTCCTTCTGTTTCTTTAGAAAACCTTTGTGTTTCATAACATGATTTTGCAACCATTTTTGCGTAGAAATGGCTCTTGTCTGGTTCTCACCTGGCTATTAGTCAATGAAAAACTAACTTCCAGTGGATACTAGAAGAGGCTAATGGTTCGATTGATGCAGATACGGTGAGCAAGCAGGGGAAGCCACACACAATTACCTCCACGCTACAGGAAATGCTCTCGGAGCTGCGTGGGCTGTATTCAAGATTAGGAAAGCACTCGACCCTAAGGGTAATTTGAAGAAGTCATCTTTTGTCAGCCAAGCAGCGCACACTGTAGCTAAAGAATCAATTGCGAGGCAAAAGAAGAAGTGAGCTGGCCTGGTCGACAGTTCCATTATGCCTGTAATTTAATCTGTTGCTGTTGCCGTATGTTAGCAATAGGAACTAGGAAGCTAGATCTTGTGAGTTTGTGACTGTTGTCATGAGATTTTCAGCATGTTCGCTTGTTGTTTTAAGCCAGGGCTTATCGGTCATGATTGATACAGTGTTTTTCTCTCACACCAAACCAGCACCAGTTGGGCTTATCAGCCCAGAAACCAAGCAGCGAATCTCTTCTTTCCTTCTTTTCTGGACTGCGTTCATTTTATTGTACACTGATGTTCTACATACGTGTAAAATTCATACGTTTGGTTTGTGGCACGACAGTTTTAATTCCACCTGTGCATTCCGTGTGCTCTTGAAAGTAAGTTCTGTTCCATTTCATCATGTTGATTCGTGCCTTCGTGTCGTGCATTTCTTTCTTCTCGGGTTATCAGTGACTGAGGGGGCACCGGCAGCGTCACACACACTCGAGCGGCCGCGGTCCCGCGGAGGCGCGGACGGCGGACCACAGCTTCCTGCGGCCGGGCCCCTGTCAGTCTGTCACAGCGCCGCACACAGATCAAAATTGCTGCCCGCGCGCGCGGCGCCTCCACCAGATCCGATGCACGCATCGCGGAGCCACCTGCCCACGTTCGGCGAGTCCCTCCTCCGCCTCGTGGCCGCCTGCCGCGCACCCGCCCACCTCCCATCCCTGCGCGCTGCGCACGCGCGCCTCCTCGTGCTGCTCCACCCTTCCCACCCATCCGCCGCACACGCTAGCGTCAAGCTCATCCAAGCCTACGCCGCCTGCTCCGCTCTCCGCTTGGCACACGCCGTGCTCGAGTCCTGCTCCTCCCCCGGCGGCAGCAGCAGGACCACCACCGTCTGCTTCAACGTACTCATTCGCGCGCTCACCGCCGCCTCTCTCACCGCGATGCGCTCGTCCTCTTCGCCTCCATGCGGCCGCGGGGCCCCCCCTGCTTCCCCGACCACTACACCCTGCCCGCTCGCGCTCAAGTCGTGCACGGCGTCAAACGACCTCCTCCTCGGCCTCCAGATCCATTCCGCCGTCGCCAAGCTCCGCCTCGACGCGAACGCCTACGTGGCGCACTCCGCGATCTGCATGTACGCGCGGTGCGGCCGCCCGGAGGACGCGTACAGGGTGTTCGACGGAATGCCGCACCGGGATGTCGTCTCCTGGAACGCTATGATCGCCGGGTTCGCGCGCGCGGGTCTGTTTGACCGTGCTATTGAGGTTTTTAAGCAGTTTGTGGTGCTGCAGGGTTCGATGCCGGATGCTGGCACCATGGCAGGCATCTTGCCGGCTATGGGGAATGCCAAGTCAGATGACATTGCGTTTGTGAGGGGAGTGTTTGACCATATGCAGTTTAAGGAACTTATCTCTTGGAATGCTATGCTCGCTGTATATGCTAACAATGGATATCATGTTAAGGCTGTTGAGCTTTTCATGCTGATGGAAAAGGATGAGGTTGAGCCAGGTTCAGTGACTCTGGCAACTATTCTTCCTCCATGTGGGGAGCTCTCAGCATTTTCAGTGGGAAAACGGATTCATGGGATTATCAAGAGGAAAAATATGTGCCCTAACTTGTTGCTTGAAAATGCTCTCGTGGACATGTATGCAAGCTGTGGATGTTTGAAGGATGCTAGGGAGGTCTTCGATTCCATGAGTGTACGGGATGTGATATCATGGACTTCAATCATATCTGCTTATGGAAAGCATGGTCATGGAAGAGAGGCTGTTGATCTTTTTGAGAAGATGCTAGGAGAGGGGCTGAAACCAGACTCTATTGCCTTCGTTGCTGTTCTAGCAGCATGCAGCCATGCTGGCCTTTTGGATGATGGAAAGCGTTACTTTGATTCTATGACTTCCAGGTATCATATCACTCCAAAAGCAGAGCACTATACTTGCATGGTGGACCTTCTCGGCCGTGCTGGATGTATAAGCGAGGCATATGATTTCATCACAACAATGCTGATCGAGCCAAATGAAAGAGTCTGGGGAGCCTTATTACAAGCTTGTCGAATTCACTCTAATATGAACATTGGACTCGTGGCAGCAGACAATCTGTTCAGATTGGTACCTGAACAAACAGGATACTATGTGCTGTTATCTAATATGTATGCTAGGGCTGGGAGATGGGCAGATGTTACCTCGGTGAGAAGTGTCATGGTGAATAAGGGTATCAAGAAATTTCCTGGTACTAGCATTGTCGAGCTAGGGGATCGGGTTCACACATTTCATATTGGTGATAGATGTCACCCACAATCTGAAATGATCTATCAGAAACTGGATGAGCTACTGGGCAAAATAAGGAGAATGGGTTATAACCCAGAGGTAGAGGCTACACTTCATGATGTTGAAGAAGAAGACAAGGAGGGCCATCTTTCTGTTCACAGTGAGAAATTGGCGATTGCATTTCTCCTTTTGAACACTGGTCCAGGCACAACTATCAGGGTGACTATGAATCTCAGAACCTGTAGTGACTGTCATCTTGCTGCAAAGCTGATTTCGGTAATCACCAGTAGAGAGATTATCCTCAAAGACACCAATAGGATCCATCATATAGTACAAGGAGTTTGTTCATGTGGGGATTATTGGTAGAGGATGTACAATTGTCATATACTGATCGATTGAAGCATGGCTGCTTGGAGAGAAAGGATTTTTGCTCTTTTGAGCATGAAGCTTGGATCCACCTTTCCTCAGTTTGTGTCCTTCGATTGAATGGATGGTAGTTTTCTGGATAACATTTGTAACAGAAATTCAGCATCCAAGGTCAGCTGCAGAATAGAGAAGAGAATGAGACCTATCTACGCTTGAGCATTTGATTTCTTTGTCCACTATTCGGGCTCTTTTGTTCAACAAAATCAATCTAACAGAAAGACCACTAGAGAAGTGTGCCAATCAAATATCAGTTGTCTATATTTCTTGAACTTTTGGGAAACATACATATATAAAAGTGAACACCAGGTACTAAGTGATACAAGAACATTTAGCATTCATCAGCTCTTGATGATAAATTATTTTATGCCATTTCCCAACTGAACAAGAATCAATGGAACTATGGAAGTATGGAACAGAGATGTTCTGGGGGCATGCAAGAGATAGGATCATACTACAGCTTTGTAGTGTTAGCTGTAGTCCCAATAGATCTTAGGAGTAACAGTCACTGAAATTAGAACCTCATATCAATGTTCTGAAGTTACTGAACTTCGTCAGTTGAGCTTGCTAAGCAGTTCTCTATTAGTAATGCAGCCACTTAGATAGTCAAGGAAGGCAAGCAGTATTATGAGTGGAAAGAAAAATTTATCATGTTGTCTGCTGCAGAAACCTGAGGCATGTGCTTCTCTTTCTTTCCCTACCTTATTGTTATATCTGCAATTTTTTTTAACCTAACACTCGACGGTTCCTTGTTCATGACTTCATGCCAGTCTGCAAATTGAGCTTAATTTTTTTTGCATTCCATGGTGAAGGACAAACAAATCACGGCATAGCTTTTAACTCCTTTTAGCATGTGAATTTAGATAGATTTGCAGAAATCCTGTTCACTGTCCACATGATAAAAATACATGAAATATGTACTTATTTGAACTTTTCAGTGAGATGTTTCCAAGAAGTGAAAAAAATATTTGCCTGTATTATACTTTCTGTGATATCCATGTGTATGTTTTTGCTTAACTGTAGCAATAAAATTGAGTATGGAGTCTCCATAAGCTAAAAAAAAGGCGCATGAAAAACGTGGTTTGTATCAGGTCAACAAATTATGTTAATGTTGGGTTTAGGTGGCAATGTTTCTTCTTGCTCACAGAGTCACAGGTTAAAACTACAAGGAAAAGGTTATTAAGTGTTCAGCTTAATTATTTGTTCCATCATAATAATTGCAAAACTAAAGCTCAATTGCTCCAAGGATGCAGATCCCATCCTGCCTAAAGCCCAAGAAGAGTGTGGATTTGTCAAAAAAACGTGTCTTGCTCCAGGATCTCACCTCCGCTTTGCATGGGACTCATCGCCTCATCGGCTGGGAGGAAGGCAGACGACAGCTTCATCCTGGTGACTGGGAAATCTAGAAAGAGCACAAATGCACAATCGAATAATTTTCGTACGGAAGGAAGGACCTGCGATTGCGCATTTGCACTTGCACTGATCTTCACCAAGGTCGCTCCGGAGAGAAGCGGCAGAAGCCACCTTACTTTGCTGATAATTTAGTTTTTGAGTGGCAGGCATTGAAATGTAAACTAAGGAAAGCTATACTTCCCTTCCATCTCAGTGAAATGTAGTAGCCCCGCCTCTATTCTTTTAAGAGCAAATAATCGAAGGAACATGATTACCTGTTTACCATAAATTTATGACAAAATTAGGAACAACATATAAAGCAGGGATCCAATATTGAGGCGCTTCATCAGTCGTCATCAGTAAGAAGTGGGAACCATCCGTGTTGAGCTGTTGATACTCGCACCTCTGTTTCATCATCTATGTTCTACTGCAGTGTATCCAGTGTTTATTTCACAGCCAGTATTAACTTATCAAAAATGTTTTTTAAGCAAAACTTATCCAGAATTATAGGATACAAAGAAAGTATGCACTGCCAAACCACAGTAATAGTACAATATTTGAACGACTGGACATGACATTTTCTGTCTGTTACATACTCACTCTGTTTGAAATATAAGGTATTAAATATTTAAATTTTGTCCCGAATTATAAGGTATTCTGGATTACTCAACCCCATCTATACATGTCTGCCTTTTAAACCCCATCTATACATGTCTTTTGAACGCTATCTTACCTAAAATGTTGGTAGTCAAGATCAATGGCATGTATACCTGACTTTTTAAACTATACCTTATACTAGGAAAACTATAGAAATCTTCTATCTGCTTCAGAAATCCAACGCACGCACTTCTGTTTTCTCTCTATTTTCTTGTGCTCGTTTTTTTTTCTGAAAAAAACTCTTGTGCTCATTTAAATTTGAGGTTTTCATGATTGTCAATTAGTTTATTTAAGGCTCCGAGTTCATGCCTGTCGAAATCATGCTAGCTTACGAATGTAGCTTAATTTTCCTAAAAAAAACGAATGTAGCTTAATTTTGCATTCCTTGATTAGGTACAAAAAAATGGGCAAAACACATATTTTTAGTGCTTAGTGTGTTTAGGAAACTAATGAAATCCTGTTCCAATGTACTATTATTTACACGAAATAAACAATTTTTTTTCATTTTCAGCTAGAGGTTCCCAAAGTGGAAATTGTGATATCCTATATATTATTATACATTCTGTGACCATCCATGTACACGAAATATACATGTATTTAAGTCACCATCATTTGTCATCTGCTTAATTGTGTTGTATGTATAGGCACATGTTGGTGCATTCTCCATTTTCTGGACAAGATTCATGCTGTGGTTAGTTTCTTTCATTAAAAGAGAAAACAGAGACTGGCCTGTGACGCAACTGCTTGAACCGTGAAGGTTAGCTTGCTAGGATACAATACAACAGTGGGGTCGATGAAGGGCAAGTAAGCAATTGTATGATATTTGTTTTTTGAGGTAAAGCAATTGTATGATATAGCAGGATAGTTTCAATTATTATTGAACTAAATTTTGAACACCTGCATCTTAACTTAAATGAAATTATGAGATCAAGATGGCTTTTATCTAAAAATATTAGGGAAGGAATTGAGCATGGTACTGTGCCTTGTCCTTATCTAAAAAAAAAGGTACTGTGCCTTGTCGGTTCCGACTTGCCCTTGTTCTATGTTGTACGGAGTAGGCTTGTAGCCACTAAATAAAACTATACTAGGATCTTTTATAGCTTTCTGCTTTGTTTTATCTGCTTCTTCAGTGCATCATGGCCTTTCCATCATTCAACAAATTTCCAAACCTATTTTTCACTGGATATATATACCGCACTAGAAACTGTGAGTGCAACAATGCCAACTTTGTAAAAATATATGTGGAAGATAAGTTATGCCACGGTGCAGAAAAAGGCAGTCAAATCAAAGTCCAACGTGGAAGTGTTGTTGGATCGCATTTGGCCCGCACAGTCAACTCCATGATAACTCGATGTCAAAACAACAACGAACAACAACAAAGTTTTTAAGTTCCAAACAAGTTAGAGTTCAGGCACTTGAATAGCTGTTTTTCAAGCACTCCTATCTAAGGCTAAGTCTTTGGATATATTACATCCTTTTAAGTCTCCTTTTATTGCCTCTACCTAAGGTAATTTTGGTTTTCCTCTACCTCTCTTCATGTTAGGGTGAAATTTCTGCATGACGAACGCTACTTCACTTCCACTTCCACCACCACCAGTTAGTGCTGCGCACCGTGCACGGCACGTTCAAACGTTCTTATAAACGCGCTTCCAGTACTGAATGTCTGAATACGTGAACCATAAACTCGCCATCTTCATTTTTCTATCAGACTAGGAGACGCTGCAGTATTAGGAACTCATCCAAGCGGACACCAGACGACGATGTCGCATGGGACGACGCAATCCATCGTGTTCGTGTATTTTATACCTACTGCTCTCATCCTTATCGCCATGTCTCCTGTTCCAGCAACTCGTCGTAGGGATGACGCTGCAAGTTCAGCAGACGGCCCTCCTGAACTGGAAGGGCACTCTTGGAAGCTCGCCGGCACTCATATCTTGGCAGCAGCAAGTCCACCCCTGCAACTGGACAGGGATCATGTGCAACCACCAAAGCGTGGCTGTGACGGGGATCTCCCTGTCAAGTGCAGGCCTGGATGGCAACCTTGATGGGCTAACTTCTCCGTACTCCCATTTCTGGACTACGTCGACCTCGGCCCTGTTCGCTTGTCGTACCGTTGGAGCAAAATAGTAGTGTTTTTCTCTCATATCAGCATCAGCGTCAGCATCAGCACCGGCCGTTTTTCCGGCCAGAGGCGGCTCAGCTCCAACTATCTTTGTGGGGAAATCCCCGCAAGCATAAGCTCTCTGGCACTGCTCTCGTACCTTGATTTCACCAGCAATAGGATGTCAGGAAATATCGGAGCCTCACTGCGCTGGGGCTCTCTATGAACAACCTCACAGGTCAGATTCCAGTATCCCTGGTTAATTTAACCAAGCTCACACAACTTGTTATCCACGAGACCATGGTTTCTGGGCGGATTCCAGAGGAGATAGGGAAGCTCTTCAATCTAAAGCTTCTGCAGCTAAGCAGCAGTTGCTCTGGGGGCGGATCCTTAACTGGCCACATACCTCCCAGTGCTGGAAACTTCCAAGCTCAACTCCTTGCGGTTGTATAGCAATCAGTTGTCAGGGAGTATACCATCGACGCTGAGTAATCTGATAAATCTGCAGGATATTCAGGTCGGTGTGAACCATCTTAGTGGCCCCGTCCCTGGTTTTCTAGTTAATCTCACCAAGTTAAACAGGGTTCTCCTCTACAAGAATCAGTTCACAGGTGTTATTCCGCGGGAGATAGGGATGCTCTCCAATGTAACTCGTTTGGAGTTGGGATACAACCTTCTGAGTGGCTCCATTCCTCCCAGCATAGGGAACCTTACTGGGCTGGTCTTCATGGACCTGTCAAACAATCAGTTTGTCGGCTCTATACCCAAGGAGCTCGGCAACCTGGTAAGCCTC